CTCACGACTTAGGGAAAGTTGGAGAGGTTATCGTAACTAAAGATGATGCCATGCTTTTGAAAGGCAAAGGTGACAAAGCAAAAATTGAAAAACGTATTCAAGAAATCACTGAGCAGTTAGAAATCACAACCAGTGAATATGAGAAAGAGAAACTGAATGAGCGGCTGGCGAAGCTTTCAGATGGAGTGGCCGTGCTGAAGGTAGGCTCCTGGCCTGGGGGCTGGGCCTTGGTCCTTTTGGTTCTGTGGCCCTTCCTGATGGTGACTAAACGTCTTTTGAGGACATGACTTCGTACACATTTCCATTATGGCTTACAGTGTGTGTGTGTGTGTGTGTCTCAGACCCAGGGTTCCAGATTCTTGCCTCCTATGCCTCTAAACTGGTTGAACCTGTTTTAGGGAAGCTGCCAGAGGAAACATGTTCATTGGGAGTAGGACTGGTTCTGCCTCAGCCTCCCCAGTAGCACCGCGTCCCTGGCAGCCTTTTTTTCCCCCCAGTGGCCAGCTCAGCTCACCCCAGGGCCTGGGGCAGCCCAGCCCAGCATGTGGTGCCAGCAGTCAAACCACAGTCCCCGAGCATTTTGGCAGCCAGTTTAAGTGGCTTTTTCGCAGCTGGCATGTTTACTGACAAGGAAGCATACTAACTAGAGGTCTTTTCATCTCCAGGTTGGTGGGACAAGTGATGTCGAGGTGAACGAGAAGAAAGACAGGGTCACAGATGCCCTCAATGCCACGAGGGCAGCTGTGGAGGAAGGCATTGTGCTGGGTGGTGGCTGTGCCCTGCTCCGTTGCATTCCTGCCCTGGACACCTTAACTCCTGCTAATGAAGATCAAAAAATTGGTAAGGAAGGTGACTTTTCAGGTGGCCTTCTTGTGGCCCAGTTCAATTGTGTCTTCCTGTACTAGCAACATGTTACAATTTCCTGAATAGTGAACGTTGACAGTGATGGTGCCAGAGCTAATAATGCAGGGAATGAATCCTAGCTGTTTTAAGATTAAATTTCCCAACATTGGTCCTTACATACTCAAGTTGTGTGCCTGCATTTCATAGAAAAACTGAAATTGTAAAACTGCTTTCTAGGCATAGAAATTATTAAGAGAACTCTGAAAATCCCTGCGATGACTATTGCGAAGAACGCGAGTGTAGAAGGATCTTTGATAGTTGAGAAAATCCTGCAGAGCTCCTCTGAAGTTGGTTATGACGCTATGCTTGGAGATTTTGTGAATATGGTAGAGAAAGGGATCATTGACCCAACAAAGGTAACTCATCGAGCGATTTCTAAACGTGCTTCCAATCTTGCTGAGACATGAAATTGTCAAGAGTAATGATTCATTACATTTTCTCTAGGTCGTAAGAACTGCTCTGCTGGATGCCGCAGGCGTGGCCTCTCTGTTAACAACGGCAGAAGTTGTGGTCACAGAAATCCCTAAGGAGGAGAAGGACCCTGCCATGGGCGCCATGGGTGGAATGGGGGGCGGGATGGGCGGCGGGATGTTCTAGCCTAGAAAGCGCTTGGCCCTCGCTCATGAACTGACAGGAAGCGCCCTGCAGGGTCCTCCCAGTAACTGGAGATTCACATGAAGGAAATGAAGAGCAGGCTGGCTGGTGCAAGGAAGCCACATGCCCACCATTGCTGGTTTCAGTTACAGTATATATAATGGTTTACCACTGTCATTGTCCATGCCTACAGATAATTTATTTTGTATTTTTGAATACAAAAACATTTGTACATTCCTGAAACTGGGTGCCAGAGCCACGTACGAGTGTACTGCTTTCAACTTAAAATCACGGAGGCATTTCTACTACTATTCTGTTACAGTCAGGATTCTAGTGCTTGCCGTCAGAGAAGTCAAAAGCAGCCTGTCTGTGGAGTGGAAGAATAATGGTGTATAAAATAAAGATCAATGTGACAACCTTTGTGTAATAAAAATCTGTTTAAAGTTAGAGGTGAGCGTGTTAGCTGTTTCTGGATGTGGAGGTAGGCAGGTGGGGGGTGCTGGCAGGAGGGCAGAGCCAGCAGCCACTGCGCTGCACACTCACCTGCCCTGATGGATTCAGCTCTGCTGCTCCTCAGCATTGTGCTAGGAACTGCTTCAGCAGTGTGGAGGCTTGCTATTAAGGCCCAGCCTGGCCATGGCTTCCCACTGTCCTCTGTGGTGCCATTTCTGCATACGTGGGGAAGGGACTCGGGCCCAGCCCAGAGCTGGTGTGCTAGTCAAATACAGCTGAGCTGCCTCACAGGTGCTTCTTTTAAGAACATAATATATTAGGGAAAGCCCTGAGACAAGGGTCCCAAGCAGGTTGCCAAGGACCTTGCCTTTCCTGGGGATAGTACAGAGCAAAGCTACAAGGGGAGGTAGGGTCCAAGGTTAGATGAAAATTACAGTGGAGCAATAAGATTGAGTATGATTGCTCAGTTAAAATTGATCAAACGGGAAGCACACCACTTAGCAAGCGCATGACACGGCAGGAGCTCTTAGGGCTTGGCCCCATGGCTCTTCCTAGCTTCCTCAAGGTGGTGCTCCCTGTTCAGTACAGCAATCCATTATCCTTAGGAAGTACTTGGTGCATTCCTTTCACCTTTTGTCTTTAGGTCTGGTCCAAAGTGGAGGTGCCGATTTCCACAGTTGTAAGACATCTGGTTCCTTCAAGGCCTAGTACTGACTGCCTGTAGTAGTTTTCTAACATTCTCACAGTTACTCTCAATATATAGCTCAAAGCAGGGGCCCCAAACCCTTTCCCCTGCAGGTCTGGCCTGAGCTCCCCTTCTGACTTGATCAGCTTTCAGTTTCTCTTGTTTTGAGACAGGGTCTCCCTAAGCATTACAGGCTGACAAACTTGAGGTGATTCTCCTGCCTCAGCCCCCCGAGTGCTGGGATGACACGGGTGCCACCGCTCCTGCCTCAGCTTGCATTTTGGCAGGAATCTAGATTGTGCCGCCTCCTGTGTCAGGCTGAGACCATCCCCATGCCAGTCCTTGGCAAATCTGTGTTCCAGAAGACACAAGCCTAGTGTCCAAAGGCTGAGGAGCCCTGGTTTAAGAGCTCCGTGAATTTGACCCTCAGTAATGCAGTACGGTTTGTAAGAGATGAGCATGTGTTGTGTGTTGTTCCAGGAGGTCATGTGTTGCTTTCCAATTTGACTTGATTACAGAAGCATCCAGAACAGGTTTTACCAGGGAAGGGTATAACCTCAGTATGCCCTATAGCAGGTGGGCCTGCTCTAGCCTAGTCTGCTCCGTGTGGCCCTGGACTGCGGGCTGCCACTGGGAGCCATTTAGGCAGTCAAGTCTTGCTGACCTGGGAGTACACAGTTTGGGCAGAGATGAAGGGGGGGAAGTCGAGCCTCACGATACCTGTGCCTTGGTGATTTGCCTGGGTGACAAGACCAGTCAACAGATCAGAGGAAACAAAATAAATGGTATGGTAACTGAAGAGAATGCGCCATGAAGTTGGTGACAAGCGGAATCCAGAGCTGTCAAGGTCCGGGAAGTGGTTTGTGGCAAGGCCCCAATACTAGGTTATTAGAAGGAAAGTAAAAGAATAAGGAACACCTGCGCTTCAGGGATTCCCGTGCGTTAGACCAGGGAGAGCGGAGAATAGTTACCGCTTGTCCTCACTCTCCTCGCTGGCCTCTACTGACACAACTTCAAAGAGGGGTTGTTTTTGCTTCAAGGCAAAAGGACATACTGGAGAAAAAGCTGCTCACCTCATGAGCTGCCTAGAGGAAAGCTCCTGGTTCACCCCCAGTGATGCACCTCCGCACAGCAGGTCAGTGTACGACCTGAAGCAGGACAGGGCTGTGGTATTTGAACCCTCAGCCATCCAGGGCTAGGGGCCATAGCCTGTGCCAGGTCGCACAAATGGCCTCTGAAGGAGCGACTTCAACCAGTCTGATTTAAGGGTCTGAGCTCTTAACCCAAGGGCAAGCTGGAAATTGGCCAGGACATGGGCAGCTCCAAAAGCTGAAGCCAGATAAACTGGAAAGTGTTCCTGTTTTAGCCTTATTTAGGAGAAAAAGCAGGGAGCTTCCAGGTTAGCTCAGTTGTTTAAGCACCTGCCCGGGCAAACCCATTCAGGCTTACGGGACCTGAATGGCTCAATCCCCAGCTCCACATGCAAGGCCACACCTGCCATTAAGGCAGCCTGAGCCCCCCAAAAAAAAAAAAAAAAAAACCAACCCACATCCATAAAAAAAAAAAAAAAAAAACCAACCCACATCCATAGCCACACAACACTAAGGAACTGGGTCTAATCCGGGTTCTGAATCCCGCATCCTTTCTGTTGCTACCTTGTGTCCTAAACGGCAACAGCTGGGCCTGCAGCTCAAGACCCACCCAACCTTACCCCAAAATACCCAGGAGAAATTCTGCTTGAATGGCAGGAAGTTATTATCAAGAATTAGAGTGGTAAGCAGGTGTGATGGTGCACATCTATAATCCCAGCACTCGGGGGCCCTGAGGCAGGAGGGTTTCAAGTTCAAAAAACTGCGCTAGGGTAACAGCAAAACTCTAAAAAGGTCTGGGGATGCAGCTCAGTGTAAAGGCCCTGGGTTCAATCTCCGTATTGGGGTGGGAGCAGGGTCCACATGCCAGTCACTGCAGGGGAGGAAGCAGGAATAGTAGGTCTTTCAAGAAACCTCGAGAAGTATCACGGATATCCCCTGGGAAGCAAGCCCCCACGCTGAACTGAAAACAAAAACAGACCAGGGGCACCGCCTCCCTGAGAAAACAAGCGGAATGCACCTGCCTTTCTGCAAAGGATTTATATGAACAAAAGACAGTAGAGTTCCAGAAATACGTTAGAACAAGTGTTTGCCTGAAAGGGAAAGGAGAGACAGACCACTGGGTTTCAGGCTGGCCTGAGCTACACAGTAAGCTCAAGACCAACCTACGCTACACAGCAAGTGTTCTATCATAAAACAACACAGGGACAGGATATAGCTCAGCAGCACACGTGCCTGCCTGGCAAGTGCAAGGTCCCAAATTTGATCCTCAGTAGTGGGGGAATAAAAAGATGAAGAAAAGGCTAACCAAGGAGAAAGAAACGGCTCTAAAGTCTGATCCTGGCATTTCAGGAAAATAGATGAGAAAACAGGAGTTTCCACTGCAGCGGAGGCAGCCGCAGCAGGACCCATGTTGGAGAACAGAAGAGCAAGTTTTGGGCAACAGGCCTTGGAGGCCTCCTGATGCTCGTGCAGCAGCTTTACCACACAGGCTCAGGCAGGTCTCGGGCTGGCCAGGGACGCCTAGCGAGGCCAGGGATAGCCAAAGCCTCTGGCATACAGCTTCACGGCCACGGACCTCACCACTCCCCAAGAAGAAAGCAGCTTCCAGGGAACACCAAAGGACTCAGGAATGCGAGGCTGACAAGTAATTGCTAGTGACAAATGTGGTCAATGTGTCACAAAACAGGTACTGAGGCCAGGTGTGGTGGTGCATGCCTGTAATCCAGTTCTCTGGAGGCTGAGGCAGAAGCATTGTGGTGAGTAGCCTGAACTCCACAGCAAGACCCTGTCTCAAAAACAAAACAACAAAAGAAAGAACAGGTACTAACAATTACAAAGTACTCATTTCCAAAAAACAAATTAAGTCTCTGAATATTAAAATTATCTGAAACAAGGGGGGGTGTGATAGCTGGGTGGTCTAAGCACCTGCCTGCCATGAAACCCCTGGCCCACCTTGCTGGCCCAAAACTGGGTATGGTGGCACATGTCTGTAATCTCAGTGCTGGAGAGGCTGAGACAGGAAGATCACTATGAGTCTGAGCTGCATAGTGAGACCCTGTATCAATAAATAATTTTTTAAAAGATTCAAGATTTGGACACAAGTAGTTAAAAAAAAAAAGTCTCTGAAATAAGATGAGTATACCAGGAAGTAATGAATAAGCCTTTCTGATAACACAAGAACAAGAAGGGACTGACCCTAAGGGGCCAGGCTTCATGTCACACTGGCTGTGAACTGGCTACATGCCCCCTCCCAAAGTCACGCCCGCACTCCTGTCCTCAGCTGTGACAGGATGGTGTCTGGAGCCTGGTTCAAACCCCACACACCCAGGAAGGCGTGGCAGCACTCTGCGATCTTCCGAGAAACCAGTAACAAGCACACGCTGCTCTACTTACCCTCTCCGAAAATCTGCAGGACACAGGATAAGCAGCAGAGACAACCGAGACGCCCGAGCAGGAAGCTGCCAACAGGGAGCTCAAGAAACTGACGGAACTCCCCAGACCTGCCGGCCAGAACCCCCAGCCGTCAGAACACTGATCCCTGCCTATAAGGACGTGTTGACAAGCACTCTCACCCTCGCACAGGAAGCTAAGGAGGGCTTCCCCAGCATAGACTAAATTCAGGACCTTGTGCTTGCCGAGCAGGCAGGTAAGCCTCTGAGCTATCTCCTTGGCCCTTTCCCCAGCATCTTTTTTTTTTTTTTAATTTATTTGTGTGTGTGTGTGTGTGTGTGTGTGTGTGTGGCCAGCTCAGCCCACAAGGGGGCGGGGCTGGCTGGCATGTGGTGCTGGGGGATTGAAACGCGGTCCCTATGCTTTGCGAAGCTTATTCTAAGTAGGTGCTTTAGACCACTGAGCCATCTCACCAGCCCTTCCCCAGCATCTTGAGGGAGTCAGTCAGCGCAGAGGCAAGAGCCTCACTGAGGAAGACAGACAGGGCCCAAGGTGCCCGTTAGCGGGCAGCAGCCACAGTCACCAGGCCCCACCCGAGGCAATGGTGTCAGGAGGGAGGCCAGTTATCTTCCACAGCCAGGCAGAGCTGGCTTCCAGCTCCTAACACTGCTGCCTTCTGACTCAGCTCTTCCGCAGGAGGACAGAGGTGGCTGCCAGCCTCCAGTCCTGAGCAAGCCGGTACAGAGCAAGGAAGGTCATGTGTCCTGTCTCCTTCCAGTGAAAATGCTTACTTAGTGAGGCTTCAATTCCTCTGCCATGTGCCATTCTCAAGAACTTGATGCTAGCCAGTGACACGCACCTGCGGCCCCAGCTACTCAGGAGGCTGAAGCAGGGGGTCACAAGTGTGAAGCCCACCAACATAAAAGGCCATCTCAAAATAAGAGTGCTGGAGACAAGCTCGGCACTGGTTAGCACTCGCTAAGGTCAGGCATGTGCGAGACCTTAGCAGGGGAGGAGACAGGGAGGCTGGGGCAGAATGATGTCAGGAGACACCCCTGCCTCACAACCCACAATGAGGGAGGGGACAGTGGAGGGAAGGGGAGAGCAATGGGAGAAGGAAGAAAGGCAGCGAGAAGAGAAGCAGGGCTGGCAAAGGTGGTTTTCTCCCCACTCCATGCCTGGATTGCATAGCTCTGGCCCACGACCGTGATGGAGCAGGCAGGCGCAGGGTGCAGCAGGGGCTGGCAGCTGCAGCTCCGTCAGTCTTCTGCTGCTTTCTGCCACCTTGCTGAGTTACCACACCTTGCCCTAGCTGCTTCCTACCATGGGAAACATGGGAGCAAAGCGCAGAGAACAGTGCCATGTGAGTGTGCAGAACAAGCTGTGGCCTGGGCCGTCTGTGACACCCCAGAGTCCCACTCACCCCCATCTCCTACAAGCTCCTTCCTCATGGGCAGGTGGGGAACCAAGGACCTTATCACAAAACGACCTTGGCCTGTCCCCTTGCCACCTCCTTCCAGGGGCACTCAACCCAGGGTGACAGCCCAGGTGACACAAGACTGGCCCTCTCAGCCCAGCTGTGTCCCAGGCAGCCTCCTTCTCCCTGCTGTGCAAAAGGAAGCACAGGGGCTGTCCCGAGAACCACAGGAGCACACTCATCCCACAGCTAGAAAGGCTCAGGCCCAAGGCCCAGCCTCCTCAAAGGCCAGCACAGGCCAGTGACAGCTGGGCAGAGACGACCAACGCTGCGCTGTCAGTTTTCCTCTTCCGTTTTTAAAATTATCCTTTGGAGATGGGTTCTACATAGCATAGGCTGACCCTGAACTCACTGGCCTATAAGCATCCTACCTGAGACTCCTGTCCCATCTCTATGTGTACCTACTCAAGCTGGAGTTTTCTGGGTCAGAGGGATGGTTTTTTTCTTTTTTTGTGGTACCGGAGATTGAACTTGGGGCCGTGCTCTTGCCAGGCAGATGCTTATACTGCTGAGCTCTCTCTCTCCAGCCCCAGAAAGATTGTTAGATAAAGTAACAATTGAGTATTTTTGAGTTCTACCAAAACGCACCTCTTGACTATCATGAGACCAGCCTGGGGACATCCCAGTTACTTGGAGTCCTTTTATCTTTTAGTTTAATTATGAGACAGGGTTTAACTATGTGGTTGGGGCTAGCCTTGAGTTCACTATGGAGCCTAGGATGGCCTCAAGCTGCAGGGAACCCTCCTGGTGCCTTGGATTCTGAGCCCAAGGCTGACAGGCATTTCTAAGAGTGGTAAGGCATGAGCTGTTCCCACCAGTAGTGGCACGGGATGAGAAGAAAAAGAGTGAATCCTGTTTGGCATTACGGCTGCACTCAGAAGGCGCAGCATTGCCGACTCCTCAGGCCGAACAGGCACTGACGGGTAGAAGCCACTGAGGGCAAGGCCAGCGCCTGATGGGCGGCACTCCAGGACTAGCACACATATATTACTCAGGAACTCCCCACCGAGGTCCCTCGCAGAGCAGGAGTAAAGCTATACCCTTCCCCTAGGGCTGTGGCTCTGGGTTACAAGAGGGGTGAAGGCCAACACGGATTCAAGGGAGACTGGATTCTGCCCAGATTCATCACAACTTGTTGCAATATAAGTATTTTTAAGGCATGAAATGCTACAACACTTGCACTCAAACAATATGTGAAGACTTCAATAATCAAAGAAATTGTACCAAAAATAAACAAATTAACTTTATTAAGTTACTACTTCAGTTCTTACATTGATTTCTTTAAAAAACATCAGTCTGGGATACATTATGGAAAGTGGGTACACACAATAAATAGGAAAGGGGCTGCACTGTGCAGGGAGAAGGCCAACGCTCCTCTCTGTCGAGGCCTCCTCGGGGACCAGATGCCACATGAGGTGAGCATCCCCACGGACAGCCGAGCACCCAGAGGCTGCCATCCCCCAAAGAGAGCTCCACGCTCTGGACCACTCAGAACCAGAACAGAAACAAAAGCACATGGCTCACTGCTCATTCACCCTGCTCCAGCCTCCCTGAGCATCAGCGCCAGGGAACCTTCATTAACCAGCTGTCTTCCTCCGTGTTCTGGGGATTGAACCCAGGGCTTTGAAGATCCTAGGCAAGCATTTTAGCACTCAAATTTATTCAAGGCAGGGTCTCACTGAGGTGGCCACACTGGCCTCGTTGGTGATACGCCTGCCCCAGCCTCCCAGGTAGCTAGGATGACAGGCGTGTGCCACCACGCCTAGCTAAATCGAAGTTTTTGCTTAAAATATGATTATTCAACTATCCTAAGCTCTATGGCAGTCCTACAGCAATAAGTTACACATATCCTGAATCTAATAACTTAAACATGATATGGTTAATATAAACTATCTCAGCAAACTTCTTGCAGGGAAGGTGATAATTAAAAGGCATTTTAAATGAGTGTTAATTCCTGCTCAGAACGACATCAGTAATCTACGGCAGTGGTGGCATTCCTATTGCTGCAAATGCAGAACCTGGAAATCACACCTGATTGAACAAGTACTTCTCATGTATGGGTGGGTCCATGTTCTATGTGCAAGTTCTTGGTGGAGCAGGTTTCTGATCATAGCTGGGCTTAACAAGTGCTTTCCAACTCCTAAACTGAATCCTATAGACACTGCCACAGCAGCCTAGGGACATGGCCGTGCCTGCCCTACGTGTGGTGCACCTGGTGCAGCATCAGCTCCCGCGGGATGCTGGTCTCCGGGCCGTACAGTTTGCACGCTCTCCTCTCAAAGGCAGCCACCATCTGCTTCACCACCTCATCGAAGAACAAGGTAGCGAGCTGTGAATGCAGAAGCGAGCGGAACTCGAAGGAAATCTGCAGGAAAATGTTCACAGGGCTTCAGACAGCGCTTTCTACTGCTGCATTCCACTTAGGCTCAGGCCTGCGCCCGGTGCTTCTCTGTCTAGCTTACAGCCTAGCTCCATCACACATGAATCTACTACTGTTTGTTTTGTATTTCTCAGACAGGATCTTGTTACATAACCCAGGCTGGCCTCGCTGGCCTCACTCACTACACAGCCCAGACTGCAATCCTCCTGCCTCAGCCTGTAGTTACAGGGGGGCGACACAGGGGCCAGCAACACAAGCAGGAATCCTGCTGGCCACCATGCATGATGAGGGTAGCAAAAGGGCAAGGAGCCCCTCATGGGCAGGCAGAGCCCACTGCCCCATGTGGGGTGGGCTGCAGGCCTCTGCTGTGCTGGACTCCCCGCATCTCTGGGTGCACTCTCAGGTCCATCGCAGCCCCGTGGGGCAGGAAGGAGAGGCAGAGTCGCAGCACCTGTCCTGAGAAGCAGCAGGAAGGAGGCCTGTGGGCCTGCACACAAGCTCCTCGCCCACCAGGGACACCTAAGTACTGCCATGATGTAGAACTTCATGTACCTCCACTGTTCTCGACAGAATTCAAGGCAACTGCTCACAGAAACAGTGATTCGCCAGGTCTGTGGTGGTGCATGCCTGTAATCCTAGCACCAAGGATGCTGAGGCAGGGGGATTGCTGCGAGTTCCAGGTCAGCCTGGGCTACATAAGTGAGTACAAGGCCAGCCTGCACTGCATGGTGAGATTCTGTCTCAATTAAAATAAATTAAAAAGACGGGCCGGGGAGATGGCTCAGTGGAATAAGCGCTTCCCTGGCAAGCGCAAGGGCCTGAGTTTAATCCCTGGTTCCACAGAAAAATAAATAAATAAATAAATAAATAAATAAATGAGAAACACAGAGTTTTGGCTAGGTATAGTGGTGCACACCTGTAATCTCAGCACTTGAGAGACTGAGGCAGGAGGATCGCTGAGAGTTTAGCCTGGACTACATACCCAATAAGAACCTGTCACAAAAAAACAAAACCAGAACAAAGAAGAGTTTTTTTTCCCCTACGAATCAGTGGATTGGACCTCAAGTTTTCATACCAAGCTATGTCCACAGTCTTTTACAATTTTCTATCTTGAGACAGGGTCTAGACAAGCTGCCCAGGCCAGACCATTTGAGATCCTCTTGCTTCAGTCTCCTAAAGTCCTGGGACTAAAGGTGTATGTCACCAAGCCTGACTCAAGAAAGTGTTTTAAGGAACAAATACCCCCTAAATTTTAAAATATTTTAATTTTTATCATTTTTGTTGGGGAGTGGATCTGAGGACCAAACCAGGGCCGCTACTGAGCTATAACACAAGCCCTAGCTTTTCCTTCTGAAACTTCCATTCTTTTTTTTTTTTTGCGGAACCAGGGATTGAACTCAGGCCCTTGTGCTTGCCAGGGAAGCACTTATTCCACTGAGCCATCTCCCCGACCCCTGAAACTTCCATTCTTATAACAAGACTACAAAAATAGTACATACAGTTTCCATACACTCATCACCCAGATTTCCCTACTTTAATGTTTTATTTTTTTTGGCGGAATTGGGGATTGAACTCAGGCCCTTATGCTTGCCAGGGAAGCACTTATTCCACTGAGCCATCTCCCCGGCCCCTTTAATATTTTATTTAACCAAAGTACAATTGTCAAAATCAAGAATCAACAAAATTCCTATCAGATAAAAAAGTTAGTATAAGGTACTGGGGAGATGGCTCAGTAGAGTAAGTGTTTCCTTGGCAAGCACAAGGGCCTCAGTTAAATTCCCGGTTCTGCAAAAAAAAAAAAAAAAAAAAAAAAAAAAGCTAGTATCTGAGGGCCAGTGAGATATCTCAGCGGACGAAGCACCTGGTTAGGCAAGTGCAGGGACTGGGGTTCGATCCCTGGTACCACAGACCGTGCTGATCCCGCCCCAGGGGTGTGCTGAGCCAGCTACCAAGACCAGTCTTGGTGGTACACACCTATAATCTCAGCATGGGGGAGGCTGAAAACAGGAGGATCACTATAAGTCTGACCTGTGTAATGAGACCCTGTACCAAATACATTAAAAATTTTTTTAAAAAGGTAGTATCCAGTTTATACAGTTTCTTCAGGCTCCCAACTGTCCTATTAATGTCCACTAATTTTTTAGTTTATTTTACTGAGTGGCAGGAACAGTCCTTCAAGTTGGAGGCCAGCTTGGACTGCAAGTGAGATCCTGCCTCAAAACACCAAGACAACGCATAAGCACCAATCCTGAAGATTCCATGCCTGAGTTACAAGCAGAGAGTAATTGCTTTTTTAGAAAGTATCTTTCAGTAATCTCTAGGCCTATCAGACAATTACAGCACCTGGGTTCTAAAAAGCAGGTCACTACTACTTGAGCAGCTTCACTTTCTACGTGAAATGAATGAAAGACTTACCGAAAAATCCAAGGTGCAAGTTCTCGGGTAGCCAGGAAGGCCTGGGCTGAAACGCCAAACAGTTTCCAAATGTTTGAAAAGTCTCCCGTCCGTGCAGGACGCCTGGAGAGAGTGAGAGTGCAGTGAACATCTGCATCTTGGCAGGAACCAACAGCAGCTGAGGCCTTCCTCGACGCCTGACTACTTCACAGCCCCAACAGTAAGGTGAACAGATCTGACAGCCTGAAGCTTGGAGCCCGTCTGGACCTGCCGGGAGCCCTCTGTTCTCTGCCCTCTCCGACTCTCCAGTACGCATGTGCTATGTGCAGTCTGTGCACGGCATCTGTGAAGCTCCCATCCTCTCCCATTCACACACTGACTCACGATCCACAAGAGCAGCTATCTGCCACCTGCAATGTGACAAATGGTGGCCAGACCACAGTCATCAGTCTGTGTTGGGCTATGACCTTTCCTTCATTCTGGGGGGGGGGGGGTTCTGAGAACAATTCTAAGCCACATACATGCTAGGTAATATTACCACCAACCTACACCCTCAGCCCTTTTATTTTTTTACTTGAGACAGAGTCTCACTAAGTTGCCCTGGATGGCCTACTTGAGATCTTGTGATCTTAAACTTAAAACTGTCTTGCCTCAGCCTCGCAAAGAGCTGGAATTACAGGTGTACCACAGCTCCGAGCCCTTCTTTAACTTTTCAGAAATGTTTTTTTTTTTTTTTTGCTCTGAATGCCTTCAGGGCATGATTGGCCAGCTTGAGTTGTGGGGATCGAACTACAGCAACCTGAGCCTGACTGCTTTGTTGAAGCAGCCACTTAAAGAACTGAGCTAAGGGGCAGGCCCCCAGAAAATGTGTTTATTAAACAAACTTATTTTACCCAGTGGTAAAACACTGAATGTATTTTCTAAAAATCATGCACGAATTAAAACCTTCCTCGTCTGTGGTCCAAGTGGTTGTTCCTATGAATCCAAAGGCTCCAACAGAAGGAAAACGAGAGTGCTAATGTTGTATAAGGACACAAGAGATACAACAGCTTTTTTCTCTTCTAGTAAAAAGACATCTTTATAAGCTTTTTACACATTATATAGCTCGTTTGACATAATATCTAAGGAATATTTAAAAACAAAATGCAGACTTATTACCTGCACCAAATGTGGCTTCACCAAGGTCACTACTGATGTGTATCGCTCCAGTACAGGTGGAAAGCCAATTTCTAACCGCGTTTTACAATATCCAGATCTCTTTGATATTATGTCTGACTTTTTGCACCAAGGAACAAAATGCTTGTAATCTTCCATTCCAGATACCACATCATACATTTCCTGCATTGAATATCTTTAAAAGAGAGATGAAGGGTGTTAACCACTAGGTGTACGAGACAATGTATATGCTAGACAGCATTAGAATAGAACTTATTCACACACCACTCAGCACCTATGTCAGATTGCACTCTGGGAAGACTACAAAACAATACAGAAAGGGAAAGAAACCAGACAGGCACATACTGCAGAGGTCACAGTTCGGCAGCTTATAGGTTAATTTCTCCTGTAGATGTGGTTTTTATACTTTTACTCATGCACTCGAAAATGGAGAATTTATATTTAGAAATCAAAAGGCCTTGCAGTCACAGGCTCACACCTCTACGTAATAATCAGGTGAGGCCAGGTCCAGGGGTGCATGCCTGTAATTCCAGCACTCTGAGAGGCTGAAGCAGGAGGATCACAAATTCTACTATAGCCCAGGTGACTTGCAGGCACTTATGCTGCTGAGCTATCCCCTTGGCCTTGGAAATTTACTATTTAAAAAACTGGGCACGTTCAAGATCAGTTTGGGCTATGAAGTGGGCTCCAGTGCTTGCTTCAGCAGCACGTATACTAAAGTGGGCTTCAGGCCAGCCTGAACTTCAGTGAGACCTGGTCTCAAAAAGACCAAAAAAAGGGATACACACACACACACACACACACACACACACACACCAGCTAAAATGGTTGTACTACTAATTTCTATTAGCTCATTGGAAGGAAAAGTTAGTGATTATGTTTGATCAATTTTGAACATCTATCTGGCAATCTGAGCAACTACTTATTTTTTTTCTTTGTATTTTTAGGGAAGGGTCTACAGAGTGTTCAGGGTCTTACTATTAAATTGCACTCGTAGTGATCTGCCTGTTTACAGCCTCCCAAGAGCTGGATGACAGGCGTGCACCACCACACCCAGTCTCAACTACTGTCTCAGCGCGCCCTGGGGGCAGGGCTGGCATGGCAGGCCGGGTATCAAACCCCGGGCCTGCACCGGCTTGCAAGTGCTTTGATCTGCTGAGCTATCTGGCTGGCTCTGAGCAACTACTTTGAAGGTAACAATATGCAATATAATAGCCACTGTTAATTTCTTATCTTGTTTTGAAATTCTGCATCATTTTTCTCTTTTTTATTATGTTTTTTGTATTTTAGGGAAGGGTCTACAGGGTGTTCAGGGTCTCATTGTATACATCAGACTTATAGCGATTCCCCTGTTTACGGCCTCCCTGGTGCGCCACCACGCCCAGTCTCAATCACAGGCTCAGCATGCCCCGGCAGGTCTTTTTTTCTTTTTAAAATTAAAAAAGTGCTACCTTATTATACAAAAGATGTTCACTCAATATTGTGAGGGGGGAAAAAAAGGAGGCATTTAAATGTCTTTTAGTAAACAAACATTAATAAAAGTTTAATAAATCACAGTAGCCATATCCACACAACCCAGGCCCTGCAAGTGTGTGGAAGAGCTTCTGCTCTGTCCTGCACCCACCGGACCACGCCCAGGCCCACTCCCAGGCCCACACCCAGGCCCACCGTGTGAGAGAGGCCTTCCCCCGCATTCTCTGGACCTTCCTCACTGCTCCAGAGCCAGCACAGCCCACCCTGTGAGTAAGAACTTCCGCCGCGCTCTTGGGAGCCCTGTAGACCCGCCAAAGCCCAGGCCCGTGAGTGTGTGGGAGAGCTTCTGTGCTCCACCCCCTCTTCCACTCCAGACCCAGTCCAGGCCTGGCATACAGGCCTGGGGTGAAACTCTGCAGCTGAAGTCCCTGCAGTGAGACTGGGGTCAAAACCACACAGCTAATCCAGGAACAGAACATCTTGCCAGAGGGGTACAGCAGGCTCACCTCCAAGGGCAGCAGCAGGAAGGAGCTGAGCACAGTAGCCAGACCCAAGCCAGGCACAACTGCATGAACTAGAACTTGGTATATCGGTACCTGAATTTCATTAGGTGATAAAGTTATAACTACACCAAAGCTCTACACCAAAGGTCAGAGGTCAGTGCAATATGAAATGATAAAGACAAGGAGCAAAATGCAATCTCAGGCCTTGAGAGGACACCAGCTCAGATGAAATGTATGAATTAATAGCATCGGATGCAAAGAAACAACAGCAGAAAGCTATAGAGGAACTCAGAGCAGGATTAATTTCTGGAACAAAAAAAGAAATCTCTGAATTCATTGCATCTGAACTAAAAAATCAAATACAGAAACACATGGAGAAAACCCAATGCCCACCAAGAACAAGTGCAGAGGACATTAGCTTAGCTGAAATGTATGAATTAATAGCGTCAGAAGTAAATAAGCAACAGCAGAAAGGTATAGAGGAACTCAGAGTAGAATTAATTTCTGAAATAGAAAAAAATAATCTCTGAATTCATAGGATCTGAAGTAAAGAATCAAATACAGAAACATGGAGGAAACCCAATCTGAAAAAAACTCTGCAGTAAAAGAATTAGTAACTGCTTCTAAAGAAGACATTGATAAAAAAAAATATACAGGAGATTAAAAAAATGATGGATTCCTTGAATGAGTAACACAGGAAGAAACAGATCTCATGAAGCAGAGTCAAGGAGATGTAGAGGAACTTAAAATCTCAATCATAAGCCTGCAAAACTGTTTGAGTGAAAGTGAAGATAGAGTTTCAGATCTTGAAGATGCTGGTGCAGCTAGTGAAAAGGTAAGAAAGGATCTCTTAAAAACAACTAGGATGTAGGAAAAAATAATTCATCACCTGCAAGATGATGCAAAGATGAACAATGTGAGACTAATACACATCAA